GGGCAGGACAGGCCAGACACCATGACACACACTTCCTTCTTCTCCCCTTGGTTTCCCAATCATGTGGCCTTCCTATCTCATCTCCCCTCTTCTGGTGCTTCCCCCACCCAACCCAGACCCCAGGGGTAAAGGGCTGCCCCAGGAAGTCTCTCCCCACCATCTCTCAGGAGCAGCACAATCCTCTCTATCTCCATGCCTTGGGGCTGGTCTCTCATTGCCAAGCAATGCCTCTCCCTGCGGACGGGTCCCCAGACCTCCCACAGACTTGCCCTTTGCTACCCAGCCTCTGTCATGCTCCCCATGGTCTACCTCCATCACCCCTCAACTACTACAAACCTCGGCTCAGAGCCTGGTCAGCCCCCCCCCCCCCACACACACACACACACAAGCATGAGGGACACTCCCAGTCAGTCCAGCTCGGTCTCAGAGAAACTAGTCATCTGGTGGCCCTGGACTCCCAGGCAATTCCAAGACCCTGCTACAGAAGCCTTATCCTCAGACTTGGTGCTGCCGGCACAGCTCTGGGGTGGGGGTGAGGGGGTCCAAACCCCAACTCCTCGCCTAACCAATCTAGTTTCTCAAGCCTGCAAATCCTCCTACCTACTGAGCTTGGCGCCCCGACCCAGACCTGACCCCACCACAGACCCAGCTGAAGACCAGTGGCCAGGTGACCTGAGATTCCTACCCAGAGCCCCTCCTGTGCTTGACACCCCCTCTCCCCTACTGTCCACCCAAATCACCATTCCAGTTTGACCTCCCTGACTTCAGCAGCCTGGCTGCTGACCCCCAACTTTAACTGCACTCGGGAGGGTGGTGAGGAGTGGAGGACAAGGGTGGGCCAGGCCTAACTGCCTGGCATTTCCCTGTCTAGAAACTGAATGGTTTTGAGGCACAGGTGGTGTTTTCATTTCTTCTTCCAGTTGAAGATGATGCCTTTGCAAGAGAAAAACAGGTACGGAAGTGAACCACTGTGACAAAGCAGGTCATTGCGTCATGGGAGGCCTGCCCCAGAGCAGAGGCTGTGGTTGTGGGGGGAGGCAGCAGGAGTCTTTGAGCCCCTGGCATGGGAGCCCCCGGGGACCCTGAGAGGCCAGGAGACCAGGTAGGATAGGCGGAGAAGGAAGAGAAAGGAAAGGTGGCAGTGGGTCACCAGCAGGACAGGGGTGCAGGGGTACCAAGCACAGGGCCCGTAGGAGACGAGACAGGGCCACACTGTGACTGGGGGATGGCCAGAACAGGGCCAGGTGTGCAGCCTTCCTTCTGCCATGAGGGATGACCCAAGCCGGCACAGTGAGGGGCCCACAGCTCTGCTCCTGAGTCGGCAGGCGGTGGGGAGACAAATCTCCAAGTTTCAGAGAAACGAAGAGGGAGTTTTCTGGAACCACAGATGGGTGATCCTGGATGATCTTCCCAGAAACAACAGAGTCGAGATCATCAACCTGGTGTCCTGTGCAGAACAGGCTTGGATTCCCATGGGGACAGGCTGGAGATTCATGAGGGGCACTGGGCAGTGGGTCCATGTGCCAGGACTGGGGCTCATGCTGGGTGCACACGGGTACTCAGGTGTCATATCCCTTCTGCACGCAAGCTCCATTTGAACTCTGGGGAGGTCATGAGAAATGTCTGCCCTCTGATACTCTTCCTTTAGAACCAGGATCACAGCATGTTTATCAGAACGTCATTATTGTCAGTAGCTGAGAACTTTATCCATGGGGCGGCAGAAGTGATAAGCTGGTAGGAGTGCAGGGGTGAGGGGCCACAGGAGCCAAGGAGGTCGGCCCATTATAAATGGGGGGTGGGGGAGAACAGGATTTCAGTGGTTAAAAACATTTGAAGACTTTCCACTAGGTTGGCTGAGCAGACACCCTGGTCAGAAGTGGGCACTGGCCCAGCACTGCTGTGGTCCATCCTGTGACAGAGAGGTTACCACCTACCCCCAGCTGTGGAGACAACACGCTGGCACCGCTGGGCACAGCAGCCACGGGCTGTGGGAGACCTAGCATGGCATCACCGCGATGATGCCCCCGGGCACAGTACACCCATCCGGGGACATCGGGGTGCTGCTCCAAGCACTAGAGAAAGGCAGCCACAAGAGCAGTTCACCTCTCTGGCTCTCCTCACACTCGCTGAAGTGCTTTCTTTCACTTCTGGTTTGTCCACTCATCACACACTGCTAGACACACAGTGGTCACTTGGGCCTGGATCTGCCCCCACCCCCACTGCTTTCTGAAAAGGCATCTGAAGGAGGGAAAGGCCTGGCTGAGTACGATGGGTGGGAGTGTCCAAGGTGAAGGAAGGGCTACAGCAAGGGATGCAGACACCCACACCCCACCCCACCCCGTGCCCCCACCCACAGCAGCATGTGGGGATGAGGTCACATGGTGCTGGACTCAGACACCAAGTCTTCAAGGGGCAGAAGCACCAGCTAGAGCCAGGACCCTTGTGGCATTCAGGTAATGAGTGACAAAACCCCATGCCTTATGTCCCCCACCCTGACACTGTCTGCTGACACCCCACAAATGCAGCTTTACACACCAGTCCAGTGTGTGTCAATGGCGGGGTCAACCCCACCCCCACACCTGCCAGACCGTTGCCTTGACCCCTGACCACTTTCTCTCTCCCATCTTGAGAGCCCAGTGCTTCTGAGCCAGGCTGCAGGGTGGGTTGATGGTTGCCCACCATCTTGTGACCTTACATGCCTCTGTCCACCACACTCTGCCCCATGCGCTGGCCAGGGTCTCATCACTACCTCTGCCTGCTGGACCCCATAGAGTCCCAACCCAATCACCCTTGATTAAAGCCTGGGCAGCCAGAGTGACACCCTCTGAAAAGCAACAGGACACTGACCACAGACCCCAGAAGAACCTGCCACAGACCATTAGGGCACAACTCCCTGGCCCAGCCCCAAGGGTTAGCCTGCACCTGTGGCCTTGGGGGCTGACCTCCATTCATCTCGCTTCCTTCCCCCAAGTCACTTAGGTACAGAAGCAGGACCCTATGCTAGCCTCAGGACAACACAGCCAACCCCACTGGGACTGTCTTCAGGGTACGTGCAGGGTGCCCAGGACTGCTCAGTGACAGAAGGCTCCACAGCCAAAAATCCCTCCAGCGCCAGACAGCAATCCTCCCCAACTCCGTCCTACACTGGAATCCATGGGATTTGGTCGAAAGAAAGATTCTACTGCTTTAAGGAGAAAAAAAACAAAAACCTGTAAACTCAAGGACCAGAACTCATTCCCCACATTCTTGGAACAAATCCTGTTGACCACCATGTTTGGCCCTGGGATAGGGCATGGAATGACAGCCCAGTCCTCCAGAGAGTCCTCCAGTGCTCTCCCTTCTCACTGGTGGGAACAGTACCTTCAGGCCAGGCTCCTGAGAAGGGGGTGACCCCTCATTGCACTGTGGGCCCAGCCCATGACAGGCCACCCCACAAGGCAAAGGTCACCAGCTAGGGTACTGAGGAAGCATGTCTGGTGAGTGCCTAGGGGGCTGCTGGTTCCTGGCCTTGATCTCAACACCCCCAATCCCCTCCCTGGAACCCCTGCGAATTGGATGCTTGGAAAATTCTGAGCCACAGCCCATTTCAAGTGTCAACATCCTGAAAACTCAGGTGAAGGGAGTGATGAAGACATACTCAGGAGACTCCTCTGCTGACACCAGCCCTGCTGCAAGGGAGGGGGGCCAGGTGGGAGACTAGGTGCAGGCTGCTGTCAGGATAGACCTGGAGTGCCCCCATCTTCAGGGGCAGGGCTGGGAGAACAAGTCCTGCCCCTGCAGTTGGAGTGACAGGCTCTGGACTTTGAAGGCACAAGGCACTAATCTGAGGTAGTTGGGGAAGTGTTGCTGAGTATTTGCCCAAAGGAGTTGGGGAGCATCTTCGTTTGCTCAGCCTGGAACAAAATACCACCAACGGGGTAGCTTACAAACAGCAGAAATATATTTCTCACAGTCCTGGAGAACAGGAAGTCCAAGATCAAGGCTCCAGCATGGTCAAGTTCTGGTGGGGGCCCTCTTTCTGGTTCATAGCTGGTGTCTTCCCACTGTGTCCTCAAAAGGAAGAAAGGGCAAGGGAGCTCAGGGGAGCCTCTTTTATAAGGGCACTAATCTGTTCATGAGGGCTCATGACCTAATCACCTCCCAAAAGACCCACCTCCAAATATCAACACATTGGGCATTAGAATTTCAACATAAGAATCTGGGGTGGGGGGGGGGGGGGGGGGGGGGGGGTGGACACAAACATTTGAATAAAAGCAGGGAGCATCCCCCAAGGTCAACGTCATCCCAGAGAGCCAGTTATTTGTGCCAGGAGTATTTGCTGGGCAGGTGTGGGCCTTTCACTCGAATCCGTGTGAGCTGCCTCGTTGGGAGGAGACTGTTACGCAAAACTCAGCCACAGGAAAAGGAGGTGCAGAGGGGGCAGTGACAAGATACTCCCTCAACAAAGATACATTAAAGCAGGATGACCACATGGAGCACCCCGGGGCTGGGCAGGAGCCGCAGAGGGGTGACTCTGCCCTCCAGAAAAACTGAGACGGCAGACACCTCTGGCCTTCCCAAGCTGATTCGGAAACAGGTGACACCAGTTCTGTGCCTGAGAGCCCAAGACGCCCTGGGGTTTTCTGCCTTGGGCCTTTGCATGACTATCTTCCATGGAGTCACAGCAGCCCAGAGTCAGAACCTCCAAAACCCAGTGAGCACACTGAGCACCCAGGGCTGGCCAGCTCTCGACAACGGGCAGTATAAGCAGGAAAATTTCCCAGGCCATCTCCACGTTGTTGAAAACTGTACCCTAACATATGAAATCCAGTTTACACCACTGTAGCCCAGGATGCGGCTGGCACAGGTGGGCCCATGCCATGTGAGGGCTCTTGAGCACCCAGGCCAGCTACTGGATGAAATGCCTCCCCACGCTGGGCCCCACAGGAGGCTGGACACCCCTCCAGCCCCCTTGCCTTCTCCACACAGGTGAGCACCCTGCAGGCAATCTCCCCACTCACCCAGGGTGCTGACTGGGAAAGCACAGGTTGCAGTGGCCAGGTCAGCCACCTCTACTGGAGACTGCACCTGTCCAGGCTGCTGCACAGACAGCCCTGGCTTCTGCTCCCCCACCCCTATGAGAAGGACAGGGACATGCCTATCTCTACACGTTGAAGGGCATCCAAACGTGGCCACCACAGACCCGGCCGCTGCTTCTCCCAGGTGGCATTGAGCAGACAGCTATAGCAGCTGCACCTGAACCAGAAGGGTCAGCTCAGGGGTCTCACCACAGCCCACTCACTCAGAGCCAAAAAGGGAGGAGGCCCACTTGGCCACTCGAGCAGGAGACAGAAACAGCACAGGCCCCTGGCGGCCTCTCCTGTCTGAGCAGAGGGGCCGGGTGGGGTCCGCAGAAGGAAAGGGAACCCTTGCCCCGACCCAATGTTCACAAATATCCTCTGGAACAAGGAGATGCCAGGAGAGAGCAAGGAAGGCCACGTTAGTGCCCAGGTGTCATCTCAGACTAGATGCCCTCAGCCCTTACATTCATTCAAAATAGTCACCTCAGACCACACAGGAAGCATCTTGATGCCAAACACATTCACACGAAGATGAAAAGCAAGCAGGAAAAGGGTATGAAACTGTGGTTCGACAGCTGAAAAGCCAGCCTCAAGAACGCTTTCATGCTTCCCTTTAGGAAACAATTCTCATATCTGCGAACATAGAATTGCTGCCCCAAAAAAGAAAAAAAAAATAGAGGGGAAAAGAAATCCACAGATGGCCCAAAGCTCATGAAAGCAATTACTCCTGCAAACAAGAAGCAGAATGAGTGCTGAAACCAGAGAAGCCCAGGAAGTTACAAAAATAGCAAATATGAGTCCTGAGTGGGATTCCCTGGCTGCGCACGTCCGCGTCTAAGCGGCTCTAGCAGCAGAACCAGGCGCTCTCCACTTGAAGGAGCCACTGGGAGTGTTGGGTGAAGCAAGTTTCACGGCAAGCAGGATTTCTGCTGCCCTCGGACTCAAGAGCTAGGCTGCGGGTATGAACTCAGTCATCGTGCTTCTGGAAGTCTCCCACAGAGCACACCTGGACTCAGAAAGTCCTTCCATCTAGGTGGAGTCACTGGCCAGGGCTGGCACAGTGTCTGTCACCACGAACCTGTCTGACGCCATGGCAGGGAGACGCTGCTAGGCCTGAGTCCACCTCAGGCTGTTGGGCACACCCAGAACTGCTCTGGTGACCAGTGATGGGGTCTTCCACCTCAAGGTTCCCGTTCAGCTGCTTCTGCTTCTTAAAAAGAGTCAGGCCAGGTACAGCTGGCTGGGGCCTGGGAGGGCTCCTTTACGGTTACCCAGTAACAAATGAGGCTCACCTGAGAGGGGGCCGCCCTAGCCTGAGCACAGCTCCCCAGGAAGCAGGTCTCCATAGCAACAAGATGCTCAAGGAACCTGCCTTTCTGTGGCAGGCTCCTGCTTCATCCTCCCACAACTCAAGACGGGCATTTTATGGACTGGGGCGTGGCTGGGGCCACAAGGCCGGTGAGGGTCACCCCCATGTGGTGCCAGAGGGTGGGGACGTGAGCTGGCACTGTTTCAAAAAAGTAGTTCTAAATTGTCTGTTGTTGTTTGTTCTGTTCTTTTTTTTTTTTCCTTTTTCAAAAGAGAAGGCAGCAAAAACGTTCATTCGGGTACCCAAGAGCATCACTGTAGTGGGTGAAATTCTCCTGCAGGTTAAACACACAGACACACACCACACAGACACATACAAACCCTACCCCCACGCAACGCAACACAGATGCATACACCACACATGCATACGCCACACATTCTACTCACACACACACTCCTCCTCTCCTCTGAGGTCAGCATGCCCCAACCTGCTTTACAGATAAGAACCCTGGCCAGCTCAATCTGTTCTCACTCCAAAGCCTGGAGTCCTCATCAACATTCCATTTAGTCCCTCTGTTTAAATGACAAAGCATAATCAGGCAAAAAGGACTTTCTCTGATAAAAACACTGAGAGGCTCCCTCAGGAGCTGACTGTAACACTGGGCACACAAACTTGCCTGCTGCTGGGAGGAGAGGGCAGTGGGGTGGGGCCCAAAGTCCAAAGCCCAAATTGTTAGGACTGACAAAGGGCACACAGACGCACTGGATTTCTGACAAAACTCCCAAATGGATTAGGGCTTTGAACTTTCAACACTCTTCAATGCCATTTCAACACCTTTGTGTTTTTTCTTCAACATCATAAAAAATGTAAATTCTTCACCAAGAAAAAAAAAATCTAATTCTACGGACATCCTTGAAAAAGGTCTCGTACAAAGGGAGAAAGGATGACAAGGCTTCTCAGTGACCAGGTAGGGAGGCTGCCCAGCAACTGACAGAAAAATCTGGAAAAGCTGAAAGGCACAGTGCATGAACAGGTAACACCAAAGACTCACCACAAATAAATGCAACAAATATAGACATTTCCTTCAGTTTGGGGTTGGTGAACTCCCCCCCACCCCCGCCCCAGTGATGGCAACAGTCCCGCTGCAGGGAAATGCTTTCGACACAGGTACACACAGGGTGTTGGCCATGAGGCCACAGGGCAGCCCGGCCCAACCCAGCAAGAATTCAGCCTATGTGGACAGAAGGGGACCCAGGGGCCCTGCGTGCCCAGGATGAAGAAGGGACTCTGGATGCAGGCCTAGGTGTGAACTGCAGAGCAGTTCAAAGGACACACCACCAGCCAGGGCCACCTGGATCACCTCTACCGATGATAAAACGAAGGAAGTCAACTTTCAGCCTTCCGATGTACTCACTGGGCTCCTCCTCGATAGGGGCAGGTGACTGTACTGGGTAATAGACAGGGGGATGAAGCAGAGAGGCCCAAGGAAGCCCCAGGTAAAGGGCAAGGCCTGCACAAGAACCTGGGGCTGAGCTTCACCAGCACCTTCCAGGGCCCTGCGTGGCCTGGCACTCCCTCAGACAGCCAGCAGGGTGGCAGGAGGCTACCCAATCTGGCACATCCAGCCCAAGCTACGCACATATGGGCAGTTACTGTTTAACAGCAAACACGCTGAAGCGTCACCTTGTACCAAGACGTAAAACTAGTTCACACCTTGGCCTCCCAGGAGAATCTGGCATCGGGTGAAAAGAGCACTGCTTAGGCTCAGAAAGACTTACAGGTCTCTCAGAGGACTTCTGGAAGCTCCAATTATGGGGATCTGAACACCCCAAGATAAGAGAGGCATCGCCCCCAAATTTTCCATGGAACGTAATCAACCTCAAAACCAGTACAATCTTGGTGTGGTGTTTACATAAGTGCTCCCAGGGCCTGGACCCTCGCCAGCTGGCACGGCTGTCGGCAGTGGGGGCCCTTTGTGCCACCCCCACCCTGCCTCGCCAGGGCCTTGCCATAGTCTAAAAGAAAAAGTCAATGAATCACTGGAAGAAATGTTCTTCCTATGAAGGGAATATAAATGTTTATTAAGAAATTATAGGAACCAGGTCAGTCATTTTGGTATCTTAGTCACTCCAGCTAATTAAAGAAAAAATCAAAACAGAACGCCATCCCAGAAACTTGAGACAATGAGAACTTCTCTTGCCACAAGCACTTTGAGCCCCAGCTCCGCCAGTTGCCAAGGTGACCCACTGTTTACCTCTCATTGTGTAGGAGGCTGACAGCCCACCAGGCTACCTCCCAGGGAAGAGCTGCCAGGGCATCCCAGAGGGTGCAAGGAGGAAGCCACAGCCGCCCCACAGGGTCTCCCAGGCTGAGCCTGGGCTACAGCACAAAGGAGAGGTATCTTCACTGGTTCTCCTCAAGTTCCTGGGGCCCTACTCCCCCAGTACACCCTCCTGCCTTAGTCCTGTGGGCTGGAAACCCCTGACAGCAAGTTAAAAATGTGCTTAGTCCTGGGGTGCAAGGAGGGAGAGGAGAGGAGAGGGGGAAGGGGAGGGGGAGGAAAAAAGGAGGAAGGGAAAGGAGGAGGGGGAGAAAACGGAGAGGAGAGGGAAGGGGGTAAGCAGAAGGGG